ACCCTTCTCCTATGGTCCTACCTCTCTTGAGCCCCTTCTTTCCCTTTATCCCCTAGGTTCCTTGTATATCCTTCCCTCCCCCCTCCGTTAAACTAACCCAATTTTTATCAATATCCACCTAATTAAGGCCTGTTTCCTACTATTCTCTTTCAGGTTATTTCTTTTCCTTTACCTCCCTGTATCCTTTCCATTATCCTGGTTACTATAGTTAGGTCTGGTTGCATGCTTATTTATCAGAGTCTGGTTCTAGGATCCACATATGAGGGAGAACATATGTCGATTTTTTTTCTGAGTCTGTGTCACTTCACTTAGTTTAACAGTTTCTAGTTCCATCCATTTACCAAGTGTGCCTTGTTCTTTAAGCATAGTTTAATTAGAGAGAGCTGAGATAGTACCTGACTTTATTGCATCTAAAATCTGCATTTTTAGCTCTAACTTCTCCCTGCAAGTCTCGGCTCATAGATGCAGGGCTCTTGGAGGTCTGTTTGATATCTCACATGTTCTGTAGACACACAGAACCATTGGATCTCACCTTCACTTTATATCCTCCTCTCTGACTTATCCACTTTAGTAAGCAGGGTATTATTTCCTCTGTTACCCCCCAAACCAAGAATTATCTTTAATACATCTCCAAATCTCCTGTTCCATAGGTCCTGAATCCAGTTGCCTTTCACTATCTGATAAAAGGGAAGAAACCATTAGCATCCACGCCATAGCGTTCTTGTGAAGATGAAGTTGACACATGAGAAACACTGCAGTAGGGTCACATTGTACTAAGTTTAGCTATGATTTTGTGTTGCTGCTTTGGGGAATGTAGCAAAGGAAGGACATGTGTTTTGTTGAGTTTAGGTGCTTGTGATACGTATATCCAGCAATGCACAATAGGCAATTGAATGTCTTCATTTGGAATGAGTAGTTCTCTCCAAGTATCCTAGTCCCTTGGAAGAATGAACAAAACCTCTAACTCTAGTTTAAGATCTAGAGATCTACATGTGGATTGGGAATATAGGGTCGTGATGAGCCTAAGATAAGCTGCTCAGAGTAAAGGTTTCAGTGGTTCTTATGGTTTAAATTTTCTTTCTTTTTTTAATACTTTCTAGTGAGTTGAGGCCTTGGCTTTCTCGGGGAGTCTATCCGGCCTACTTCTGTAACTGGGCGCTATGCATCCAGATCTCGCACCCTTATGGACACTCCTGTATGTTCTTGGAATTCTGTATTCTTCTGTGAGTTCAGGTAAGAGAATGAAGAGGTTTTGACTGAAGGCCTTCCTCATCTTATGAAAAGCAAAATTTGACTTTAATGCTTTGTCAGTATTAGCAGTTTCTTACATTTTTTTGACCAACTACATGATTTAATGACTTGAGTAATTAAGCAAGTTGAGACTCTTGATAGTGTTTTGGGCATAGCAGGTCTTCCCATCTTTGTAATTTATTCTTTTATTGACTTAAATATTTTCTGATCATGTTGTTTACAGTAAGAGAATATGGTACAGATTTTGAATTTGGAAATAACAGAAATAAAATGTTGACTATAAACCACCAAAGACTGTTAAAATCAGTACAGTATAATGTTCAACCAGGAGGAAGAGCACCTAGGTAAATCCCAGGTCTGCTGATTTCTCTCATGACCTGGCCCTAACTTATTGCCTAGATTTTCAGGTCACTGAAAAGCTTGAATATGTTTAT